ACTACCAACCAACTGCAACAGTATCAATAGCCGGTCAAATTTTTTTGGCTGGCCATTGATACCGATGCACTGAATTACACTTGGAATTTATGGAATATATTGGTGTCAAAGGTCAAAAAGTTCATCGAATAGATGACTGATAGGGCAGGATAAACAGCGTTTAAGGCCTGCTAATTTCCTGTACTATTTGTACTGTTTTTCAGATGCCATACGCAGAAGAAATTTCAAAATTTTTTTTTTGGTGCCATCGTCTCATTTTTCCGTAAATTTTTGGGCTCTTAATAATCACAAACTACCAGACTTGTCAAATGTTCACTCCTTATTAAAAAGCAATTCACACTTCATCCTTTTTGTTTCTTGTTTCGCCCCATTTCTCCATCGCTCACTTTTTTTGCCATAAAAAAATATGCTTAGCAATTTGTTTTCCGCAATATTTTACAACATTACTTGCGGCATAAAGTTCACAAAGATTATTTAACATTTTGCCTTATAAACTGCCAGTTTACATACTGTCTAATGACGGATAACCGTCAGACAACTGATCGGATATACTAAAACATTTTATTAACTTTCTCCAAGAACATAAACATTTGAAAAAAACATCTTTTTTTTTTTTTGTTAGCACCTCCACAGCCTATTATCAGACATTCAGGCTGTTCCATTCTTTTTCTTCCAACTTTCTACACTTTTTTTTAACTGATCAATTTTATTCTTTCAAATTTAATTTAATGAAAACTTTCAGATACAAAAAAAAAAGAAAAAAAGAATTCTTTTACTCCTTTATCCTCACACCATGACAGTTGTTTTGCAAATTTTATTCAGTGGTCGTACATTAAAACTTTACAACGTGACTAGGCATTATTTTTTTGTCTAATTTGTCTAATTCCATTGTCCGTCCAAATTTTTTTTTTTTTGTGAAAGTTGATCAATGAAAATGTTGTTGGAAACTTAAGAAGGAAACCAATCGATACAATTTTGTAACAGAAGGTTAAAAGTAAATTAAAGAACGATAAAAAAGAAATGCAAACAAGAAATGTTTAAGAAATAGCAAAATCAGTGTGACGTTTCAGTTACCAATGACCACCAAATGGTGATTTAGAGTGTGTACAATTGATGACAGATGGAATCAAAAATGAATGAGAAGTTGAAAAGAAAAAGGAACTCTTTAGTGGCATAGTTGTCAACGTTTTACTAACTGACACAAAATTTTATTGCTTAGCAAATTTTTATGTCTTATTTCTTGCCTTTTTTTCTCCATATTTTTAATTCTTTATAATTTCAACTTCATTGTCCTTTTCACCACAAAAACTTAGTGACACTGCCGATACATTCCGTTCTGTGGCAGTTAATTGTTTCAAGAAAATCTGTGAAGCACACATAAATTTCCCTTCTCTGACAGTGTCCATCATCCTACACTGCATACTAATAAGCTGATCCACCTGACAAAATTAAGACATTGCACTTTTTTGACCTTTTATTATGTCCAACTTAATCACTACTATTGATAAGCAAAGGCTTAGGCGTTGAAAATTAGTATTCAAGACTTCAGGCACATTTTATTTTTTTAAAAACAAAAATTTTCACTCAGCATCATTTCTACCCGACCTGAAAGAAATCTATCGAACAATTCAAGATTTTCACAAGCTAATGACTTCACAACAGCAGCCCTTCCAATTACCATCCATTCTAATTGGTAAATTTTTTTTTGCTCACTTGGCTACCAGTTGATCAGAACTTATTTAACTTTTCTAAAACAAGAATCAAATTGAAAAAATGAAAGAAAAATTGCCACAAATCAAAAGTTCTGTTAAACTTAACATGTAAAAGTCAACATTCTGAAACTGAATCCAACCGTGAAAACTGAAACCGTTTTAGCAACAAATTACTACCACCTGAAGAAAAACAAACTGTAGGACAATTTTGATGATTTTTAACCCAGTAACATTTATCTGTTTTTGATATTCGACCAAACATCTTTCCTCCTCTCCTTCATCCTTTCTTCCAGTTCCTCATAGTGTATGCAGCTGCAGTTTTACTTTGGATGAGGAAACTCCCTTTAAGAATACGTAGGCGTCATCAACGGCAATTTTCTAAGCACTTCACTTTGCTAAAACAAATTATGCCCTAGCATTGAACTTTTTATTTTTTCCTCTGTACTAACGATATTTGCCGACATTAATTCGCCACTGCCACATGTTGGATAAGCGAAAACGAATGGTTGGCATTGCATCTTTACCGCATCGA